TTTTTTTTTTTTTTAATGATACTGTTTCCACAGCAGGGGAAGAGAGAACTGATCCTGAACATACTCCCAGAGAATGAATAATCACGGGAAACTGGCTTAAGCAGCTCCCTGGATCTGGTGCATGATTCCAATTTGATTTGATTTTTTTTTCTCGATATCTTTTTTTTTTTTTTTTTTTCCCAAGTCATCGCTCTCATTTTATTTCCTGCATATTTTTTTTTTCACCTTTTGGGGGATTTGCAAACCGAATTACATGCATGTCCAGTGGGGGAAGGTTTAATTTTGACGATGGAGGGTCGTACTGTGGAGGCTGGGAGGACGGAAAGGCTCATGGCCACGGAATCTGCACCGGCCCGAAGGGTCAAGGTGAATATTCGGGCTCCTGGAGTCACGGCTTTGAGGTGCTGGGGGTCTACACTTGGCCCAGCGGCAACACTTACCAGGGCACCTGGGCCCAGGGCAAGCGCCATGGCATTGGCATGGAGAGCAAGGGGAAGTGGGTGTACAAAGGCGAGTGGACCCACGGATTTAAGGGACGCTACGGGGTCCGCGAATGCACTGGAAACGGGGCCAAGTACGAAGGCACCTGGAGCAATGGATTACAGGATGGCTACGGGACAGAGACCTACTCGGATGGAGGTAGGTGCCGCGGCGCTKCCTCCTCGGTGGCGCGCGGGCCGCGGCCTCGGCGCGGGGTCCCCGGCTYCGGGCGCTGCGCGTTGGCGCTCGGGGCGCTCGGAGCAGGTGCCACCCGGGCCACCCTGCACGGCCCAGCGCTTTGCCACAGGGAGCCCCATGCACCAGGGGGGCACCAGGCCCTGCATTTTGGGCAGGGGGGCCGCTGCCCCGCGCCRGGGGTCGCGGCACGGGGTGCACGAGCCGCATCCACTGCCATGACTGCAGCACCCTAACCTGTAGGATGTGCATGGGGCGGTGGGAGCAGCAGGATGCAGGAGGGTTTGGGGCTGAGGATGCCCTGGGTGAGGAGCGGGCGGGCGGCCCTGCCTGCAGCCCCCGGCCCGCGGCGCCGGGCAAAAGACTTTAATTCGGACAAGACTCTTACATTCCTAGTTTACAGCTTACTGCTTAGCGTAGGGGCTCAGAGGGATCACAAAAGCTCTGCTCTGCCGTCAACGCGGCTTAACGAGACGTGGAGGGGAAACGGGGATTAAAGAGAAAACAAGGAAACCCAATCGGAGCGATGGGGAATCGCCGGGCTAACAAGCTTTAAGGCCAAACTCGGGAAAACAGCTGGTGCTCTGCCCTAAGTGGCTGTATCATCGTCTCCGCGGTCTGGGGCCGCTTCCATCCCCACTGCCACCATAATCCGAGCCGGGCCTAGGCGCCRAGGCCGCCGCGGGGCCGGGGTCCCTGCGGCTCCGAGGCCTTCCCGCTTCCCGCACAGCCTTCCCGAGGGCATCGCGAGGCTTCCCGGCCGCATCCCGGCCCTGCTGCTGCAGGAGCCCGGCCGCCGCTTGGCGCTCGCCGGGGGAGGCGGGATGAGCCCTCACCTGCGGCTGCTCCTTTGTGCTCCCCGGGGAGACGGGCACTGATCTCACCAGCCCACAGATTTTATTATTATTATCATTATTTTACCGCTCGGTTCCTCCCGAAGGCAAATGCGGCTGCAACCTTTTGTTTCGTGCACCTGGAGGAAAGCCGGGCTTAGTGCAGAGCGGCCGGGCCTGCCTGCAAGCAGTGGGCGCTGCTGCCGCTTGTGGGAGGGGGGCAAGCGCGGCCCGGGGGGGACACCAGGGACGTGGAGGGGACATTGGTGGGTGCTCCGGAGCGCGGCGCCGTCCCTCCCCTCCCCGCCGGGGACGTTTTCCGGCAGGGAGCGGAGGGAGGGATGCAGGAGGGCGGGAGCATCGCCGGTCCCCGAGGGCTGCGGTGGCGATGGCGGCGCCGGCTCGGGGCAGGCGGCGGCACCCGGCGCATCCCGGATGGAGCCGCCGGCACCTGGCGCACGCCGGGAAGCGGCCGCCGCGCGGGGTGGGCTCTGAGCAGGTCGCGCTTCCCCAGAAAATGCCAGAAGCAAAAAAGGCTCCCTCTTCCATCTTGGCTTCCCCAGGCGGGCACCCCGYGCCCGGCCTCCTGGCGGGGATGCCAGGCAGAGCGGGGAGATGAGGAGGGAAAGGAAGGGCTGGATGTGTAGCAGAGCATCCCCATGGAGAGCTTGCCAAGGCTCCCGGGGTTTCGGGAAGGCCCCGGCCCGCGGCCCCGCGTTCCCCACCTGCAATTGCACTCGACRCGGTTGCAGGCGCCTGGTTGCAAATCTCTGCTCAAGCTAGGTGCAAAACCCAGCACCTGGAGGGGCACTAACCCTTAAGGGTCTTGGCACCTTTGCCTGCAGAACGTGGCCACAGGCGGGTGTTTTTTGGGGGGCAGCCGTGTTATTCTGCTATTSAGAAGCAGCTACCGGGGGGGATATTTCTTGTTTCCTCTGTTATTAGCTCCGTCGCACTGAAGTATCCTCGAATCCTCGCCCCAGCATCTGTCACTCGCCACCCACAGCTAAATATTCATCCCTTGCATGTTTTTTTTAGCGCAGCCACCAGGRCGAGGGGCTGGGTCCCTAAATGCACAGCGAGGATGAGGAAGCAACGCGCGCGGCGAGGCCCTTCTCTCCCCTTTCCCCCTCGCTTTGCACCAGAAGGGCAAGGCCCCAAACCCCGCCGCGCGCCACGGGTGCTCCCCGGGCGAGCGGCCTGTTATTTTGTGCGCAGGGATGGGTGCCGTGGTCCCGGGGGRCGGCGAGCGAGGCCCCCCGCGCGCGGCTTGCAGCTCCCCGCAGCTCCCACGCGGCCCCGCTCGCACGTGGGCCCGCCGGGATCGGCGCGCACGCTCCGCCGCGGGCATCCTCCGCGGGCCCCGGATCGCACGTTCCCCCGGGAATGCTTCCTGTGGTGGTTTTGCCCAAGCCCTGCGGGGTTTTGTGCTGCAGGAGCCTGCACCTCTGCACCCCGGTTCGCTCTGGAGCGGCGGCTCTGCAACCCGTTCTGCTGGCACGTGCCTCGGGTCTGCAAAGCGGATTGCTTCTAACTGGCTGTAAGGAGCAAACAGGCAATGGGGAAGAGCTGAGGCTCCTCACCCAGCTACATCCCTCTGGATTTCCCCCAAAGCCACTGGGATCCTACTAGYGAGGGCGAATTTCCATGCGATCTCCTAGCGCCCGTGCCAAAATTACCCTTAAAATCCCACGGCTGGTGCTGTTTTGCTGCTGGAAAGGGGCTCGGGATGCGCTTTCRGTAGCAGGTGGCAAGAAGCAGCCGCACCGTGTCCTGGCGCCCCGTCCTCCCCAGCCCTGCAGGCGCCGGACACAGAGCTCGCTGTGCTAAAGACCCCCTAAACCCCGGGGATTCAGGCAAAAAACCCATTAAACTTCATTTATAAGACATCTTGCTGTCTCGATGTGGCGCAGAAGATCCTTGCAGGGCCTGTAAGTGGGAACAGGAGAGCGATGACTGAGACATCAGGCCACAGCGAGCATAGAAAAATGAATCAAAATACTAAATGAAGGTTCTGACCAGCCTCATTAAAAATAAATGCTCTGAACTCGTTATAATTACTTCCCTGCCTGGAACATGCTGCTTAGTTTCAGGTACAGCTCAGGACAGAAGAAGAAGGATTTTGACCTGGGGAGAAGAACATGGCCCCAAAATTGCCAGATGGGATTAATCCCAAGCTCCATCTTCTCCAGGATTTTGTCCTGCACTAGATGCCTGGGGAAAACGTGTGGCATGGCCCTTGGGGGTAATTTGCCCCATAAAAATCTCCTCTTGCCTGCTCACAGAGACTGATTTGAGCCTTGAAGCAAAATYGCAATATCCTTTCCYATTTTTTTTCCATTATCTGTGATAAATTTGGGTGTCCGCGACAGGGCTAAAAATGTGCACCTGCTTCATCAGTCTCAGCCCAACAATATGGAAAATTCTTCCTCCAAGTAGCTCAGCCCGCTTGGAAGTTTTTTTCCTCTCCTTGGTAGCCTGGCCTCATAGGGCTGCATCATCCTTGGGGTTGTATGAAGAGGAAAACTTGGGCATGTTTAGGGAAAAGCAGAGGCTTCCACTTTTCAGAGCTGCACTGGTGCAAATACTTTTCATGCAAAAACACCAGAGCTTTTTGTGCAAACCCAGGGAATTGGCATGGATGGTAGGGACCAGACTTGGAATCCCGCCTTGCACCTGGTTGTGCAGCACCAACTCCTGCAGGTGAATTTTTCCCTCGAACCTCCAGTTCATGCAGTCTTGTGTTTTCTTTTTCCCATGATTTTTAGCTTTATTTTTAAAACACAGTTCCCATGCAGACTCTTGCTGACAAATAATTCATCTAGATGTGGAAACCAGAAGACRAGAACCTAAAAATGCTTTGCATTGAGAGACGACTTGATTTTTCCATTAATCTGATTAATTTTGACTGCCCAGTGTCGGCACGGCCGATGCAAAGGAATGATCTGTATTGCCGCAGCCATGACTTGAAGCTATAAGTATGGGAATGGCATAAACCCAAAGAAGAGGAAGGGCAGAAAAAGGGGCTGAAGTTGATGCAGAGCAACCACTGAGAGATCTGAGCTGTTGCTGCCCACGTTGGTCCAGGGCTGCTGCATTTGGGGCTGTGCAACCCATTGCAGCGCCAGGAACGGGACCAGAGAGAGGCTTGGATAAAACCCACCTGAATGACCAATTTTGCATTTGGGGGCTTGATCTGGGTTGATATGTGTTTTTATCTTGCAAAGGTAGATTTTTGCYTTTTACAGAAGCGGTTGCAATCCAGGCACCATCATTGCCTTGCAGCAGTTGCTCCTTTCCCCAGATTTTTTCCCAGCAAAGGCTCCACTTCCCCTTAACTCTAAGCAAAACCCCGTGAATTTTCAGGAACGGATGAAGAGTTTGCAAAGTTTCCCAAGTTTGCAAATGGTCCCGCAGAGATGATCATGGCAGCGGGATGCTTTCCTGTTCACGGCAGCGCTTTGGGTGTGCAAGATGGGACACCCAAAGACTGAAGATGGGAGATGTCCTTTCTGGCACAATAAAAAATAATAGCAAATAATGCAATGAAAAATAATGTCAGTGAAGGCCGTGGTTGTGGGGCCGGCACTGTTTTGGGGGGCAGAAGAGCCCTTTGAGGATCCCGTGCATGCRCTGCTGAGGAATGGGGTGAGATCAGCGAGTTTGCAGCGAGGATTAACACACTCGGGGATTAAGGGTCAGAGCATTAGCCCCATTTTACTCTCCTTTGTGAGGGGAGCACATTAGCCATAATAAAGGTGCTGAGCAATATGCTAATATTGCACTCAAACGCTATCTTGCCCCCGAGTCCCGCGCCCGGCGCGTTGAGAAGCACCACGGCCACCCTAAAAAGCAGTCCGAGCGCCATCCGAATGAGCGGGGCTGAGATTTCATTGTCATTATAATGGTTTGCAGCCTTTCTGTAAATGCTGGCTGGAAAAGGCAATTACCGAGGGCTGCAAACAAACTTGGAGAAGCATGAGATAGAGAAATAATGAGCGCGGGGAGGAYGGACTCGCCTTCCGCTGCACGCCGAGAAGAACAAATTGAGTTTTTCCCCTTAGCAAAGAGGGGGGAAAAACTGCCCGCTAAATGTCCTCGAAAAGGATGCTYTGATGCTTGCGGGATCGGCGTGGGCTGTCCAGGGCAGGAAAAGGGGAATAYGGGATGGTGGCTCCAGCCTCCGGAGGGGTCCATCACCCAACGCCACCAGCCCACTGCCTGTGCGCTCAGCCGAGGGTCCCTGCCAGCCCTGGGCGCTCCGCACTCTAAAAAATGCAAGCTCACCGCGCCGATACAAGCCACATTCTTCCTTTTAATCATTTATTATTTGTTGAGCCCCAGCAAGGTACTTAATGCTACCAGCACCCAGGCAGGAGCATCGCAGCCCTTGACAGCTCCACTGTAGCTCAGCTCCTTCCCTTCCCTTCCCTTCCCTTCCCTTCCCTTCCCTTCCCTTCCCTTCCCTTCCCTTCCCTTCCCTTCTCTTCTCGTTCCCCAAGATGCCAAAGCTGCTCTGGGAGCTGCTTTCCTGAACACTGCTCCCAGGGTCTTCCTGGTGCCGGATGGGTGGGAAGTGGTACCTGCCAAACCTGCCTCTTGCTCTGTCATCCAAGAGCTCTGACTAATTATTGTCATCATCGGGCATCTTTAATTGATACGCCGCGGAGTTTGCAGATAAGAGAAGGAGGTGAGCCTAGCAGGGAGGATCTTTAGCAAGACAAACGAGCCATTTATGAGGCTTAATTAATCCTGCTCCGTTTTGAAAAGTGGACAGGAGCCTTGGGCAGCTCAGGGCTCCATGGCCGGATTCCATTGAGTTGCAGTAGGGCTGACCCCCGAAATACCCACTATTGATCCCTAATTCCGGGCTGTTTGTGCTACTGGTGCTGCACAGGGAATATTTTTGGAAGTGTTTGATGTTTTCCTTTGCAGGTAGAGTGGTGATAATGACACGGATGTGTCCATCAGTCTGGAAGTGCTTTCCGGAGCGATGGGCAGTGGTGGGAATGGGGGATGTGASGGGACAGGGCGTCTGTCACCCGCTGAGCCCCAGGGTCCGCGCTGCTCCGTGTGCTCCGCGCGCTCCGTGCGCAGGGCTGGTGCTTAATGGTTTTCCTGGAGCGGAGCCAGGGGACGCAGTGACTTGCATGGTGCCAAAGCCTTCCCGAGACAGGAGGGARGCCAGGGAATTCAGCCATTCCCAACCAAACACTCCCCGTGTCCTGTCCTCCTCCGACGGTGCAGTGAGGGTGGGCGAGCGGATGCTCCAGCATCCAAATGGTTGACGCTCAGGAGCTGTTTCCCACACTTGCCTTCCTTTGCTGAGTGCAACACACTGGATTTCCAACATCTGGGGCCGAAAGGGCATTTTGGAGATGTCACAGGTCCCCTTCTCCCCTTCCTCACACCATCGTTGGCCATTTCATGCAAGACTCTGTTACCAGTGTGGAGCCAAATTGCATCGATTAAGTGACTCCGGCTCCTACCTGAGTCTGGGTACCTCTTCCCAGATGGAGTTTCGGCCTCCCGAGCCAAATGCTGAGAAAGCACTGGGAAGCTGCGGCAAATTGCGTTGCTTTTTGGTACTGGTCATTGCTGCGGAACAACTGGGCGCTTGCTGGAGCACCGGCCACGGCACCTGGAGGCCACTGAGGTCCCTGGCCCAGCTCTGCTGCCCGCTGCCCTGCTGACCGCGTGCTGGGTGCTGCGTGTGCCCCGATGCAATCGCTCCGTTAATGCCTCGTTAATGCAATTAATGCTTCGGGAAGCGTTTTGCAAGTATCGGAAGAGAGGCAGGAGCTGAAATGGATGCGGTCCYGGTTGCGTTTTAGTAGCAAGTCCCAAACCGGCCAGCCCTGCAAGGAGCATTTCCTTGCAATGCTCAGGTTGGTTTCCTCACTGCGCCACTCTCCACGTTTGCACCGGATCCTTGGGATGGGGAGTGCTCGGCACCTTGGCAGATCAGACTGGGTCCCTGTTGCATTGGACRTGCTCATCCCGCTGCACCAGCCGGCGTGCTGTAAGTTCAGCTCCAAAGTGGCCCAAATGCAAAGTGTGAAGTAATAAAACCTTGTTTCTTCTGCAGGGAGGAGCGGTCCCCTGGCTCCTTGCGAGATTAAGCTTTGTGCTTATATCTGCAAATGTTAGGGGGAAGAGGTTAAGCCGAGCAGTGCGAGGGGAGGAGGTGGCCGTGCTTAGCAATGCAGATCAGAGGGCTCTGAGACCTGCCAGCGCTCCTGGCCAAATCCGGGGTATTTGGGGGTTGAAAAGGTAACGAAGCCAGAGGAAGGAATKCTGGAATGCTGCTGGGATGCGGGAGGAGCGATGGGGCAGTTGCTCCTGGGTGCCATGCAGGGCTAGGAACAGGTTTTAAGGCCCTGCAAAGAGGGCAGCTTCCCGGGCACCTCTGCTGTGTCAGTGACGGGCACAGCAGGAACCACTGTGACCGATGTGCTCATTGCCACCGCCTCTGGTTTCCAGCAAAAGGAATCTTGTTTAACGATGCTTTTTAACGATGCTTCCTTTTAATCCCTGTTTTTTTTTTTTTTTTTTTCCCTTTAGCTGGAGATTTGCTAGGGGATGGAGAGGTCAAGGGGCTTGTTGGGGACTGAGATGAGCAATTCAGCCTTGGAAAACGCAGCCCAGGGGCGRGAGCAGCACAGGCGCTGATGGATGCAGCGCAGGCCCTTTCCCCCACTTGTGCTTCCCGCATTGGCATCCTGCCCTGAAAACACTTGAATCTTTCAAAATTCAGTCTCCTCAGGGAGATCTGGGAGCCGGAGCGGGCTCGTGGAGCTGCAAGCGCYGGGTGATTCCAGGGCCTGCTCCGAGCCTGTCCGCCTGCCCTGCCGGCCCCTCCAGTGCCCGCTGTAATCCCAGTGCCCGGCCTCCCCCCACGTTAATCCTATAAACCCTGGGCAAATCCTGCCCTGCGGCTCCGCGGCCCTTCTCGGATGCGGCTCCAGGGTGTCCCCCTTGTTTCGGGGCAGCTTTTCGGGAGCACAGGGCTGTCCTCTCCCAAATCCCCCTGCTCGGTGGGCGGCCCTTGTCGGAGCACCGGGAATGGCCCCTGCATCCAGCCGGGCTTTCCCGCGGCCGGTGCTTGGGATCCTCATCCCGGCATCAGGACCATTGGCAGCAGCTTGCTGGCGCTGGGGGGCAAAAATAGCCTTAATCCCACCCTGCCTTTACTTTCCCTCTGTATAAAGTAGGGATGAAATGCTTTAAACCCCCTTAAGGACAGAGCATGTTCTCCCAGGGTGCTGCTTTGGTGCAGGGGGTGAGCAATCCAAGGATGCTCCTGGGGACGGCATTCCTGAAGGCAAAATAACCGGCATGGGTGGGACCCATAGCGAGGTTGCTCCCTGCTGTGGACGGYGGCCTGATTGCTGAGGGCAAGGAGCAGGCTGCGCTTTCCCCGGGCACCTAAATCCGCCCCGCGAGCGCTTAGGCAGCCCGTGGGTCGCTGCCTCTCCAGATAGTCCTGGAAAAGATTAAGCTGACCTAAGAATAAAAACAAGCTCAGTGGTTCAAAYGGCTGGGATGAAGCTGCCCGGCGTGCCCGCGGCCAAGCTGCAGGATGGGAAGGGATTAGGGGTGCCGGGCAGGATGGTTTCGGCACATGCTGCTCCTAGGGGGCTGGTTGCTGCTTCCAAGGTGGATGTTCTCGGCACGCTCCGGGAGCTCCCGTGCGCCTTTCCACCCATCCCTCCTCCTCAAGAGGCTCCAGAAAGAGCCMACACAATGGCAGGAGGTCAAGCAGGTCCGGAGGACGGCATCCAAACCATCCTCTCTCCCCACGAGGCCGCTGTTCCCTATAGGCGTTCCTTCCCGGATGGAYGGCGCTGTGTATATAAATCAATGCCTTGCAATGCACGGTGCGCTTCGATCCCTGTCTGCACATCCCGAGCCTGCTCTTGGAGAGCAATTCCGCGGCGTCGCCCTCTCCCTTCCCTCCCGACAAGGGTGCTGGGCCGTTCCTGGAAGGAGCCGCTCCGCACGCTCGGCTGCGCGCGGGAATGCCCGAAACACGCGCCTAGCCTGGATGCTTCCCATCCGTTTTTTTTTTGCATGACACACTCACAATCGGGATATATCTATAAAACCCAGGCATATATATCATCGGGGCACCCGCAAACCCTCTGTGCTTTTGTCTCCCCCGGCAGGCACGTACCAGGGCCAGTGGGTGGGCGGCATGCGGCAGGGCTACGGCGTGCGCCAGAGCGTTCCCTACGGCATGGCGGCGGTTATCCGGTCACCCCTGAGGACGTCCATCAACTCCCTGCGCAGCGAGCACACCAACGGCACGGCGCTGCACCCCGACGCGGCGCCCGCCGTGGCCGGCAGCCCCGCCGTGTCGCGCGGCGGCTTCGTCCTCATGGCCCACAGCGACGCCGAGATCCTCAAGAGCAAGAAGAAGGGCATTTTCCGGCGCTCGCTGCTCAGCGGGCTCAAGCTGCGCAAGTCCGAGTCCAAGAGCTCCTTGGCGAGCCAGCGGAGCAAGCAGAGCTCCTTCCGCAGCGAGGCCGGCATGAGCACCGTGAGCTCCACGGCCAGCGACATCAACTCCACCATCAGCCTGGGCGAAGGGGAGGCCGAGCTCTCCGTCATCGAGGACGACATCGACGCCACCACCACCGAGATCTACGTGGGCGAGTGGAAGAACGACAAGCGGTCGGGCTTCGGCGTGAGCCAGCGCTCGGACGGCCTCAAGTACGAGGGGGAATGGGCCAACAACAAGCGCAACGGCTACGGCTGCATGACCTTCCCGGACGGCACCAAGGAGGAGGGCAAGTACAAGCAGAACGTGCTCGTCAGCGGCAAGAGGAAGAACCTCATCCCGCTGCGGGCCAGCAAGATCCGCGAGAAGGTGGATCGCGCCGTGGAGGCGGCCGAGAGGGCGGCCACCATCGCCAAGCAGAAGGCGGAGATCGCGGCCTCCAGGTAGGCGAGCGCGCGGCACCGCGGGGACGGGGGCGCCGGGGGGTCTCGCCTGGCACCTTGGTGGCCTGTGGGAGGGCGGGATGCGGCTCTGTGGGACACAGGGATATCGCTCCGGAGCGCTGGCAGGCCGTGCCGTTGGCTTCTGCATCCCGGCGCAATCTGGCCGTAGGGAATCACGTAGGCGGCATCCTGCACGTCCAACCTTGGGGCTGGGGGCTGCATCACCAGCACCTTTGTCCTATGGTCCCACCTGAGCCCACCCAGGGCTCACTGCTGCATGGGGGTGGCTCATGGAGGAGGAGGAGGAGGAGGAAGGCTCCTGGGATGAGCAAGGCCACRCTCTCCTCACCAGTACCCAATCCATATGTGTGACCAGTGCAGGGTCCAGACCTCATCTATATGGGGAGTTTCAGGCCCTTTGTGTCACCTTCAGGTGTCTCCTGGAGATGGTTTGTTGCAGCATGGACATTCCCTTCTGTTTCCCGAGAAAACACTACATGAATGTCAGCCAGGCAGGGGGAAAGGGTGGGAGTTAGGGACGAGCTCAGGTACCTGCTCTGTCTCCAGCGCTAGGCTAATTGCTAAGTCGGCATCATTTGTATTCAGAATCACACCTGAAATCTTTATCAGCATGGGCCTTATCTGCAATGTGAATGAGGCTCCCGCGCCTGCTTTGGGAGCTTTTCGGGGCTTGATGCTGTTTTCTGTTTGGTGTTGCACCAAATGGTTGTCAAAGCTTAAAAAAAAAACGAAATCCCACCAGGCTCCCAGGTGGGAAACAGAGCAGCAGAAAGAGCAGCTCTTCCCTGTGTGATCTGATGCAAAGGTCTGAACCTTGCTGCTCTCGTCTGCTGAGGGATGGGTAGACTGAGGATGAGGGCATGCTTCATCCCAGGTGGTAACTAATGCTCCTGGAAGGGCACAGGAGCTGGAATCAGAAGAGCTGTAACTCTTGCTGGTTGGAATGGTTTTGACCTGGCATTCCACGTGCCACCTTCTTATCATGAGAGAGAAAGAGAAGGGGAAAAACATCCCCTGAGGTGGCTCTTGATTGCATGGCAGCCTTCTCCCTGGCTGCAGGAGGGTGCAGGTCAGTGCAGGACCTCGTGCAGCCCCACGTGTTCACGGGCTGCTCGCTTGGAGAGCAGGTCGGGATGGCYGAGCCCATCCCAGCCTGGAGACATGCAAGGAAAGCTCGGGATCCTGCGGAAGAGGCTGGTGCTGATGGAGAAGGTGGCGGTGTCCTCTCTTCTGGCTGTGCCACCTGCCAGGTCCCACGGTGACAGCTCCCAAATGCCACTTTGGCACTGAAAGGGGAGCTGCAAGGTGGCAAAACCTGTTGGAAACACCTGAACGTTGCTGGGACCTGCAGGGACGTGGGGCTACGGAAGGTCCAAATGGGTAATATGGTCCTTCCCAAGCTCCGCTGGAGAGCACTGGCCATGACCCGGGGGACCAGGATGMAACATGTGCACGAAGGAGGGAGAAAAGCGGGGGATTTGGGGTCCTTTCAGCCCTCAGGTCAGATGCAGAGGAATAAATAAGTGGGAGCACTATGGCTGCATTAGCATCTGTCCCTCCACTGTTTGCTCCTATCCTGCGAATGGCTCATCCAGCAGCTCCAAAACTTATCGAGGGAAGATCGAACCGTGGCCCTGATCGGTTCCCTGGGCCAACAGGAACCTATAATCCCTGCAGGTGTCCTGCTCCTCGCCGAGCAAAACCTCCTTCGTTGCTCATAAGAAACCTCCCATGAAACAGGCAGGACATGGATCACGGCCCTGGTGTCTGGGTTTGCGTGTGTGTCATCTCTTCTGTCTACTAATACGGCTGAGTTCACTAGGCAGCCTCTCCCCTGGTGGGGGAAAAATATGTGGCCACCCACATCTTTCATTAAATTTGTAAGAATTCTGTATTTTTGAAAACTCTACCGCTCTGACAAATTTGGTTGGAATTGGCCAACACGTTCAAAAGTTATTAGTGTGGGAGTGATGGCACATAGATATATAAACAGCACAATCACATAAGTAAGCCCCATTTCCTGAGGAAAGTAGGCTAAAAACCAGAGTGTGCTGCAGACAAGTAAATTGGATGCTTGAGGTTGTTTTAGTGTGCACCAYGCATGGTGTTATCCGTGACACGGGGAGGTAAGTGCATTTAAGGCGTATTTAATAGCTTTGGCAGGTGAGGCTCCCGGATTTCCTTCAATGCAATTAAAATGCATGTTTGCATTGAGCATTTCTGTGCTCACGTGTCTTGTGCAGGGTGGAATAGGGTGTTGTCCATGCAGAGATGGGAGGAYGAGGTGCAAGGTGGGACCTGTTGTTGAGCCCCTTTTGCAGCAGCGACGCGGAGCAGCTGATACGGGAGCCCTCCAAGGGGATGCTCCTTGCAGGTTAGTCCTAAGTAATGCACTCGGAGGCATAATTATAGCCGAGCCATTTGCAACTGAGGAGAAAAATATAATTAAGCTCAATATTCTCGGGAGGGCTGGGGCTACAAATTAGCCCGGTGTCACTCAACTTCAGAAAGAGAAACGGGAGGGGAAAAAAAAAAAAGGAAGAGGAGGCTAGTGAAGAGAACCTGACAGCAAGGACGGGTAAATGAAAGCGCCCGGACCCTGTGTGGATGCTCCTGCAGGATGCAGCRGCGGAGGCGCAGAAAACATCTGTGCTGTGGTGCACAATAGGGAGGCAAGAAAAGCCCCGGAGAGCTGAACAGCAAAGTGCAAAGGGCTGTTTGAGCCAAACAGGTCTTTTCTTCAGAGAATGGCARTGCAGGCCGGGCAAAACCCCCAGAAAAGAGCTGCATCCCGAACGTTTTAAGCTGCGGTAATGTCGCTGCGGGCGCTAGGGCCGGCTCGGAGGGCGCCGCTTAATGCGCTCGCATTGTCCCGGCGCCGCTCACCGGGCGCCTGCGGGTGTCGGTGCGGCCGCGCGAGCCCCGCACAGCCGCCGCGGGCGGGACGGGCGCAGGGCGAAGCCGCGGGACGGGCGGCGGGTCCCGCTCGCGGAGCCCGCGGGATGCGCCCGGCGCCGGCTGCTCCGAGCTGTGTGGCCTCCGCTGACCTGTTTTGAGCAGTGCGAGTGCGTCGCCAGCACTCAGGATTCAMGCCGTGATCCGCTCTTTAGCTGCTGGATCGGCAGGAAGGGCTGGGGTGGTGAGGGATGCTCAGGAATGCAGGGCAGGGCATCCCTGCCCCATGACAGGCAGTTGGACCCTGCCTATTCCCAGGATCCCAAGCCGTGCTTGCAAGCAGAGAGCAGCAATTCCCATGCTGCTCATCCACGGATCCCAAGCCATGCTTGCTAGGGGAGAAGAGCAATTCCCATCCTGCTCACCCATGCCCTGATGCAGGGCGGATGCTTCAGCCAGGATGCAGAAGTATCCAGGTCTCGCACAAGGAGGGAGAGCTCTCGTTTCCCTTTGAGCCTCCCCATCGCACTGGTGACGGATGCAGAGGATGGAAGTAGCCGTGCACTGGGGGTGCTTGGGGGCAGCTCTTTGGTGGGGGGCCCGTGTGGGGCCGGTCGGACACCCCTGCTTGGAGCTTCTCTTCCCTCCGCTGCCTCCTGCCCGCTGAGCTCCCGGTGCCGGCCCGATTTGCATGGGCTGCTYCTGCTTCTCGCTGCCCGTGCCGCTGCCAGCGCCGGCACCGCCGCTCCCGGCATTCCCGCCGCATATCCGGGTGCAGCCGGAGCCGTGGGCTCCACCGTGACTCCTTAAGCCCTCTTGCACCAGCACTTTAATAACTTCCTGCTCCCAGGGGAATTAGAGCATTAAGCCCTTTTGCAGCAGGGTCAAAAGTCTCTGAGCGAGTGGCAGGCACGGGGGCGAGAGGCTCCGGGCAGCGTCGGCTCCATCCTCCTCTTCTCCCTGGATCAGCCCATCCGGCTGCTTTCCCTTGCTAGCAAGCTCCACGCATGGGCTGAGCCACCAGAGCTGCTGCAGCTCCGGATGCTCCTCCGGATGCTTCCGGCCTCTTGGGAGCCTCCAGTGCCATGGGGCCAGGTGGGATTTTGGTGTTGGGGAGGGGGGGACAGGGAATGAGAGGAAAACCGCAAAACTGATGTCACGCAGGGAGTGATGCAGGCTGCCAAATCRGTGCCTGGGAAAGGTCTCGGCTCGGCCCCATCCCTCCAGTTCTCTCCTGGCTCCTTTTGCTGGTGCTTGATGTTCTGGCTTGTGCTGAGGGGCTGGGACGCGCTCCTCTTCCTCCGCATGCTGGCACCAGCAGGAGCTTCCAGGTGGAGCACCCTGTCCTTGCAGGGATGAAAGGAATAGGGAGGAAAGCCCCAGCCTGCAGAGCTCCCCATCCCGGCGCGCTCCCTCCATCCTCATCCTCGCCCTCCGCTCACAACGGGGCTGATGGAGGCACATGGAAAACCACAGCGGGGCCCAGGGGCACTGCCTGCTACCTGCAGCCCGCCCTGCAGATCCCTGCCGGCTCCCAGATCCGCTCCAAGACGCATGTCCGGGGCCCGGTGCYGGCCGGGGCGGCATGGAGGGTTCCCCGGGAGCGATGCCTGGCCAAATTCATCCACACCGGCATCAATAATTCAGTATTTTGGGCCATTTTCACTGGTGCTGGTGCAGCACAGAGGGCAGTTTTCCCAAACTGCCCGATTTTTGTTGTAGCTCCTTCCTAGGGAAGCGAGGGAGGGCAGGAGCCGGCGCGGCCGAGCCCGGCTCCTTTTGGACGCAGCGCGTCACGTCTCCTCCTCCTCCTCCTCCTCCTCAGCCTTCCCCTGCTCCGACGCCTCCCTTGGCACCCGGCTCCGGAGCGCCGAGCGCCGCCTCCTCTTCATCACCTTCCTCCCCACCTCCGGCGGGAACCTGCGCAGCAGCAGCAGCCCCTCTCGCCCACCTCCTCGCGCCGGCTCCATCCCATCAGTGCCCAGCGGACACTGGGAGCTGCAGTAGCCTCGTCCTGCCGGAAGGATTCGGGATTTTGGGGGGCCCAGGCTGACCCTGGGCTCATGATCCCACCAAGGAGGGGT